ACGCTGAGGCACTGTTTCTTGGATGCTGATCAATACTGGAGGACATCATTCAAGTCATTACTTACCAGCAGGCAGCTAGTGGAATATATTGTGCTAGATGTGGAGCCTGTCTCTTCTGAAGTTGTTGTTGGTGGTACGAAATATGTTTTAGCAGATGCACAAGTGGCTCGTGTATCAGATTTTGGGAAGAATGACACACTATTTTCGATCAGGACACATCTAGGTCATCTTTTAAATCCTGGAGATCACGCTCTTGGTTATGATTTATATGCAGCCAATAATAATGACATTGAATTGGACAAGTACAGAGGACTCGTGCTCCCTGAAGCCATTTTAGTGAAGAAAAGCTATGAAGAGAAGCGCCTTAGGAAGCGTGGGAAGTCTCGTGCATGGAAGCTTAAATCCCTTGACATGGAAGTTGATGATAAGGGTAAAGCTGACGACGAGAAGATTAACTCTGAGTACGAACAATTCCTGCGCGATCTGGAAGAAAATCCTGATCTGAGGTTCAACATATCGTTGTATCGGAATAGGGAATATCAGCCATCTGAGATGGCTTCAGTGACTGATGGCGAAGATCTACCTTCTGTTCCATTGGAGGAGTTGATGGCTGATCTTGATCTGAGTGAGGAGGAAGATGAGGAGGATAGCATGAGGGAGTGAACAGAAGGTTTTATTTTGATTTGGACTTTTACGAAGTTTTGGGTCCTATGTGTTTATTCAGAGTTGTTTCATTTTTGTTTTAATTTTTGTTTGCTGTTTACGGATAAGACAGTAATTTAATATGAAGGAGAAAGTAACCGCAATCCCTTATTGATTGGGCATTTCTCTTCGATTTTTTTTTTGATCTATTTTTTAAAATTAAATGTCATTATTAAATCATATATTTATCTTCTAAGACTAAAATACAAATTAAAATGTTCCAAAATTTATGGTCAGTAGATACGATTCACAATTTGATTAACATAAATATGGATTTAAGCGGTTAGCTTGATCCGTTTTTCAAGACTTTAGAGGACCGGGTTTAGAGAGTTTTGTATACAAAAATACTGCAATTTTCAAAGCCCAAATGTTTAAAAAAGGTTTCAAATAGATAGCCTGATAGGCTTGGCTTGTATTCCCGATCCTGCCAACAGAAGGAAAGAAAATCAATGTGTAATGTCTATAATTTCCCTTAATTTTAGGCCATATGTAAAAATAACCATACTCTTCCATAAACTTTCAAAAGTAGTCCGTCACTGTTAGCCAGTTAATCACATATATTTTAAATTTTAAGAGAATTTTGCACAACTTAGCTTTTTATATTATAATTTTGGGATAGTAAAACTTTTAGTCTCTAACATCTGTGGCATTATTAATTTGGTTCCTGAAATTTAAATTTTATCAGTCAAAGTTTTAAAGTTTCATAATCATACATAGTTAATCCTTAAGATTTAAAAGGAAAATAACACAACAATCACTAAATATACATGATTATAAAACTTTAGGAACTTAATTAATAAAGGTTAAATTCAGGAATTAAATTAATTGAGATAAATTTGAGAGACAAAACATTTCATTATTTATATAATTTTCACGGAAAAATAAGTTCAACTCAATTAAATATCAGCATATGGTAAATTGAACATGAATTTTAACTTTCAAATTCTCATATCTTCCTAGTTTTTTTTGGGTTAAGTAATAAATTAAATTAGAGTTAAGGGTCATTTTTGCCCCTCAATTTTACTTGAAGGATCATTAGAATCCTAAACTCAACTACAAGTTAATTATGTCCCTCAATGAAAAAAGATTCCCTCATTTGTTACTTAATGTTAAAAACACTTAACGTTCGATAGTCATCAATGTATTTCACTATTTTTAATATTTTTTATTGGGTTAAGAGTCATTTTTACCCTTTAACTTTTATTCTAAGAGTCAATGAGCACCCTCAACTCAAATATTTTACAATAAAAATGTTAAAAAATGTAATATAAAACTTACTAATAGTCAACTAAGGGTAAAAAAATGACAGGGTGATAAGGGAGAAAATCTTTAAAGTTGAGTAACAAAATTGATAATTGAATTTAGGATCTCTAATGAACTTTTGGATAAAATTGATAGGCAAAAATGACATTTAACCTATTAAATTATATGAAAAAAGGTTAGTATATAAATAAAGTTCCAAACCGTCAAACATTGAGACACACATCAAAGTCTACCTGAAAGTAGACATAGGCATCGAACATAACTCCTGCTTATTAGATGAACTATCTTCAATCTTATCACTTATTGAGTGGTCAGATTTTTTCTCTGAAGTTATAATTTTTTTTTTTGGGATAAACATGGGAAAAAACAGACATTAGACAATAGTACGAATGTCTTGAACCAAACTTACATCTAAGCTAGAGGAAGAAGAAAACAGAGGATAAAACCTAACAACATATGACAGAGCCATCTTGGCAAGTATATTAGCAACTTCATTATCATCTATCACAATTCGCTGACTATGTACTGCCCATTCCCAAGTTAGAAGTGCTTGAATTTCAACAATGAAGTTATAGATTTTAAAACAAAGAAAAAAGTCACAGTTGTGATTGTAAGATAAAATGTTTCAGTTATAAAAATCACCATCTTTAATCAAGTAGTAACTATAGGGCATTCTCATTTCAATAACATATTTTCTCTTGCAAATATATTTTGTGATATAAAAATTGTAATTGAAAGAAAAGTTTTGTGAAACATATTTTTTTATTGAATATTTATTATTTTTCCTTTTTTGGTTGAATGTAAAAATCCAACATTTATTATTTTCAAGGAAGATATTCTTTGATGAATGCATTTATACACGTATAAAAATGGAATTTTTCCTTTTCTTTTCCCTTTTTTCTCTTGTGAAAGGAATCCCTATATTTAATTCATTTAATAGAGAATCCAACATTTTTACTACTGATTACAAATTTAAATGGAAACAAACATGAATCTGAAAAAGCACATTTCATAATTAAACATACAAATTAGTTTTGGATTCACTTATATCATATCCATTACCATTAAATCTACCTATAAATGTTAAATATTTTCTAAAAAAAATCAGCAACAATAATTATTTTATGATTTATTTATTCAGAAATGCTTATAATATAATTGAATATTCATTGATTAACTGTATCTTAGTTCACTGCAATAATTGCGTCATTAATAGCAATAATTACAAAACAAGAACTAAATGCATATTGAAAACCAGCCATTGTTTGATGTTTTCTATGAGAGTTTAAAATGAAGATTTCTTTTAGAAGGGATAGAAGCAAAACTAAAAAATGACTAAAATGAGGTTTTGGCCACTTCAATTGATGGTATGTATGCAAAAACATGGATTAAAAAAAAATAAGTATCGTTCTCCAAAAAAGTAAAATAAAATTTATTACACATTGTTTTTATGATAAAGTGGGGGTTTAAACATGGAAATAAATGTTTTGCTAAAAAAAAAATGGAAATACATGTATTGTTTCTAAATTAGGGTTTTTTTGTTGCAGTATCAATGGTTTGTAGAAGTAAAATTGTCCCAACTAATTGGAATGGAGTCAAATTATATATATATATAATTATATAGTTATATATATATATATAACTGTATAATTATATAAAGAGTTTGAAAACCACTTGAACTAATTTTTAGAGAACATAAAGAGTTTGAAAACTAATTGAAAGGAAAATCTTTTTTAAAATTACAGCGCACAGATCTTTGATATTTTTGGGTTACGGACATTTGATACATTGATGAAAAGAAAATAGTTCTTTTTAAGTATTACACAAAGCAGTAGACATCTACTCTTCAAAAATCATAAAAATATCATTCAGAAGAAATTTTCCTTCCTATTTATAAAATGTTTTGTAAAATCCTGACGTTAATTAATATTTTTTTTAAAATGCCCCTAAAAAAGATGTTTTAAATTGATTAAAACAGGGTGAGAATGTGAGAGAAGATTATTCAATAAGAATTTTTGTGAAAAAATGTGATAATTTTAAAGACACACTCCCTTCAATCCTATTTATAAGATGGATAGATAAAATTATTTTGATGCTATATTTATAAGTCATATCATTAAATCTTTATCATAAATTTTTTCTTTTACTTGATTTTAGAAAAATATGTCAAAAGTGAGTTATAAATATATAAATTTATCTTATAATAAAAAATGGAATGAGTATCAAAAATTCATTTTCACATACTCATATATGATAACACAAATCAGCAAATACAAATCTCTCCACTTATAGACAAAAACAGATTTACGTAAAAAGTTGTTATTTATTATTCAATTATTACGATTCACAGAATAAAATTATGATTGTTTAAATAAAAGTTGTAACTGATCATTTTTAGAATTTGAACTTCAATAATAAAAAAAAATTTGTGAAAAGTTGTGATTTTTTGTTCAATTTTTACAATTCACAGAATAAAAATTATAATTGCTTCAACAAAAGTTGTGACTGATTATTTTCAAAACTTAAACTTCAATGATAAAAGAAATTTCATATGAAAAGTTATAATTTCTTATTTAATTTTTGCAATTCGCAAAATTAAAGTTATGAATACTTAAAACAAAAGTTATGATTATGACTAGTTACTCTCAGAACTTGTTTATATAAGAGCAATTTTACGTGAAAAATTGTGTTTTTCTATTCAATTTTTACAATTCATAGAACAAAAGTTATTATTGTTTCAACAAAAGTTATGATTGAAAAAATAAAACTAAACCCATTATTTTTATTTTCAACAAGGAATAATTTAACCATTTAATCTAAAATTATGAATGTTAGAAAGGTATTTAAAGATTTTAGAGAAATTATAACATTTCAAAAAACCTGATTATTATTTATATATTTTAGTAGGAATTTATTTTCATTTTCCCATATTTCAATTACAGGAAGTTTTCTCACCAGAAACCACCTCATCCCAATGAATTTCCCATTCATTTCAACTTTTTTAAATATTTGAGAATTAAAGTTCGGATTTTCTGTATCTTGCATTTATGGTAAAATATTTTAACCTCAGAATTTATTGAGAGCCCTTTCATTTACAGCACACAGAATTCCTCACAAATGTTGTGCACATCCCCACCAAATTCATCTATATAAACCTCATACTGCTACCAAAACCAAACCACACAACCATTTCAATCTCCTCCTTGTTCCCTCTGGTTTTCTTCTCTGATATCAACACCATGACCAGGAGGAAGGTGCAGCTCGCATTCATTGTCAATGACTCTGCGAGGAAGACAACATACAAGAAGAGGAAGAATGGTATGGTGAAGAAGGCAAGTGAACTGACCACCCTTTGTGGGGTTGAAGCATGTATGATAATTTACAGTCCTTATGAATCTGAGCCTGAGGTTTGGCCTTCCTCCATGGAAGCCCAGAGCACCCTCGTGCGGTTCAGACAGCTTCCGGAGATGGAGCAGTGTAAGAAGATGATGAACCAGATGAGCTTCACCAGGGAAAGGATCCAGAAAGTGAGTGAGCAGGTGAAGAAGATGAGGAAGAACAATAGGGAGAAAGAGCTTGCCCAGATCTTGTATCACTTCATGAGCACTGGGATTTTTCTGCAGAATATGACTGTCAATGATCTCTATGATCTGTCATGGGTGATTGAACTGAACCTGAAGGATATCTGCAGGAGGATGGAGGCACTGGAGATTGAACCTCAGAATGATGAAATCCAAATTCAAATTCAGGGACAAGCACAAGCAGGAGAAGAAGATCGTAACAATGGCAAGGGGATAATGGAGATGAGCATAAGCACATTGCAGAGACAGCAGAATTTTATGGAACTGATGAGCTGTGCTGGGGATGAGACTCTGCCATTTGGAGAAGCCAATCTCTACAATGCTTGGCCTAGCCCCTTTTACTTTTGACAAACATCAAGAGGCCATTTCTAAGTAGACTAGGCTGCAATTAATATGAAGCAGAGTTGATTATGAATAGATACGTAAATTTGGCAAGCCTCGACTTATTTACATGTCTATTCATGATTTATCTAATCTACAAAATTTCTTTTGTAGATTAGATCTATCTCTCAGTTTTCTCTTTAATGTTTGTTGTCAGTAATGCTCTTGTCTTTAGATTTCCGCAGCTGAAGTAATAAAGCTTCATGGTCTAGTCTACCTATTTAAGTTTCTGATTTATGTTGTTTCAGAGTCGTTAATCTGCACCTTCAATGGTGCTGGTTAGTTGAAATCAATGGACTCTATTGGCTTAGTGCAAATCTCTCTCTCTCTCTCTCTCTCTATATATATATATATATGTAAATATCACATCTATCAATTATCATAGATACTACATGGATTTCATTGATATAGATAGGAAAAGCTGGTTCAGATGCACCATGTATGGATATAAGGAAAGGGGAATGATGAATAAAAGGAAATCATTTTATTCCAGGCTCGCTTATTGTACAGGAATCAATATAAAAAAGAATTGTCAAGTTTCAACTGAATGAATCAATTTGGAAGCATTGTATATCTGTAGTTTCTACATTGTGTTTTGTCTCTATTGTTTGTACAAAAAAGAATGGAATGAATGAAAATCTGATGAAATGTAAGAATTAGAAGGGCTTCTTAAGGTACTTGAGATCCAAGGATGAATCCACACATTCTGCTTTGCTTCTATAAGCATTCAACAGTTTCAACAATTCAGTGACCTTCTCCTTCATTCTTTCTTCACAGCCCACCTGCAACAAAACCAAGAGCTTCTGAAAAGCTCCAAGTTGAACTGCCTCAACAAGAACCTCTTCATCTTCCTTATCACAGAGCTTCCAAAGAATGGACACTGAAAACTCAGTGGCCAGCGCTGACACTCTTAAGATCTTCTTGATTGCAAGAGGCAAGGTTAGAGAATTAGCCATGGCTGATTCCCTCCCTTCTTTACAATCACAGATACAATCCAACACACCCATAGCTTTCTCACATAGACTTTTGTCTGCATCCACAATGGCCTCCAGCAACAAAGAAACCAAACCCAATTCCACAAATCTCTGTGAGATTCTCTCGTTGTCATCAGATGAGGAAACCAACCGGAAAATCTTTGTCAAGCTTGCTTTTGTTGCATTAGGTCCTATAGGCTCTCTAATCATCTTCACCAAAGCTTCAATTATGCCTTCAGTTTTAGCCAGAGCTCTCACAGGCATTTCCTTGAGCACCATGGCTGCATTTTGCCTCGCTGAAAGGTCGTTCCCATTCAGAAACCAAACCAAGCAATTCAAAGATGCTTCAGACCTCAATTTCGATCTTGCATCCTCTCGTGATGGATTCATCATCCATGGGAGTACTTCCAATATCATCTCTAGAACTACCTCGTTTTCCTCGATGGAACCACGTGAGAAGGAATCAAAAGCAGAGGCTAACACTGCACAAGCACCGTTTTCCACTATACACCTCTTGTTCCTCTCACTCTCTTTACCCCAATTCTTAATCTTCCCCAGCAATTCTTGGCACCTTTTGATATCCCCATTACGAGCGGCGACGATTATCCCGAGCAAGTCTCCGAAACCTCGTACGGTGCAACGGGGATCCTCGGAGTGGGGATCCTTTCAATCCCGTGAGACTGGTGTTCGACGCACCAGTCCTGGATCATTCTTCGAATGGCGTGATTTGGGATCATTTGAGTGCTCGAAAGAACCTGCTTGGTCACGGGGCAGGTGTTGTTCCCAGATTCAATCCACCTCTCGATGTTGTCCCTGTCGTAGGTGATTCCGGTGCACAATGTCACCGGATCTTTCATCATTTCTAGGCTCACCGGGCACCGGAAATGCATCGGAATCACAGGTTCCAAGTCAAGCTCACCGCCGGGAAGGCATTTCTCTTTGTGGGCACGTCGGAAAACTTTCCTTAGCGTTCCTGACAAAACCATGCTTGTACTATCTTCAAAAACCGAAACAAATCAGTCCGTATTCGTGAAATTGATTGTTGCACGTCTGTATGTAAGTTATAATTGTTGAATATTGAAGGTTGCGATTTGAACTGAGCAATGAATCTATGAGATGGGGGTATTTATAGGGACAAGAAGACGCTTGAGTCATACATAATACGCGGGTCAAAGCAAAGATTAGTTAAGAAAAAGATTAATAAAGAAACATGCAGATAATAATATACAGAAGGAATGAAGAGAAAGGTTCAAACTTTAATTTGTAGGCAAGGTGGGGAAGGAAGGAGAATGGACGTGTTGAATGTTGACCGTTGAAGGATTCAAGATTTTTCAGAAAAAAGAAGAAATCAGGGTTAGGAACTTAGGATTGGCTCGAGCCGACATGAGGGTGACGAGGTTGTTTGCTGAGTGGGACTGAGTCAAGAGACGCGTGTGGTGTGGCAGCGTCGTGTCCGCGTGCGACACCAACTTGTTTTGGACTTTGCACTGTTTAGTGTTTACGGTTAGTATTAGTATATCAGGCTTGCTGCAGTAATTTCCGACCTGAATTAGGAGGTTTGTTAGAGTTAGATTCAATGATCATCAGTGAGCAATGACACTGTAAATTTATACTTATTTAATATATTATTTCAATTAAAAAATTTTTTAATTAATATTTCTTTATTAAAAAATATAAGGTATTTTTTATCTTTTAAGATGTAATCTTACTTTTTTTAAAAAAGTGTCCCTATTAATGATTAACTTTATATTTATTGCAATGTATTTAATAGGGGTAAATATAAAAAAATAGGGTTAGTTTAAAAGTAGGTAACTACTTTATTAGGGTGAGATTTACTTAAAAATGTTTTATATTTTTAACGGAGAGACAATGCAATAAAAAATATTTTTAAAAAATGCATTAATTATGTCTTAAAAGGCTCAAAATATTTTATATTTTCAACATGATATTTTAAAAAATATATCTTATAATACCAAATAAATGAAGTATATCCCTTGAATTTTATATATAAATCATTTCTAATTAAAAAAATAGTTAATTATTGATTTTTTTAAATTTTCTCTTATTAAATGCATCATGTTTAATAATGCATTCTCCTTCACATGTAACATCTTACTCTGTTCATAAAAAAATTTCAAAGGGCCAAATTCAAAAATAATTACTAATTAATGATCTTTTTTTTTTTATGTAAGGTGACTGAAACAGATAACTTTTTTTTTTTTAAAGGTGACTTATATATAAGAAGAGTTTGTGATAAGCCTAAGTTTTTTTAATTGTGCATAGGTATATATACTCTTATTATCAAAGATAATTTTGTCGGAGGTGCTATTAGACACTAACATAAACAAATTTTTAATGAGAATTTAAATATGAATTCACTATGTTGTGATGATTAGCATATTCAACTAGATCCAACCTTGTTAATAATCTTAATTCAATATTTTCTTTTCCCTTTTGTATGGTTTTATTGTGATCTACTTTTACTTTTATCTTAATTCACAAGATGCTTTTCAATATGACTCAGTGATACAAAAGATAAGATTCTTTTTAGTAAAATAAGCTTTATTAATAGTACTTGTTCTGATATTACTCTTTCCTTTTTATTAAATTTCTTTCTCTATTTAATGTTTTACAAATAAAATTATATTAAATTAATGATATTTTTAAAAATTTATATTTGTAAAGTGTATTTAATAAATTTTATTAGCATGCATAATTTTATAAAAAATGTCTTATAAAATAAGATGAAGGGAGTTGTATTTTCCTTTTAAACAAAGAAGTTAGATTGAATATCATCTCATCTCACGAACGAAGGCTAAGAATGTGCTAATTAGATCATCTAAGTGAAAAAAACCAACTAAAATTAATGTAAGTATTCAAAACTCTAGTTACTTATGAATAGTTAGGTATTCAAATTCCAACTTTTATATATATAATAATTTAGTTGTGAGATCTTTATATATTATGTACTCTCAATAATCATAGTAGTTAGCAAAGTTGTTAAACTCGCAAATTTAAATAAACTTATGATAAAAATGTCAATTTATATCACAAACTCAAATCGTAAACTCATAAGAGTTTACTTTTATTAATAAATAGTCTTTAAAATATAAATGTAATTTAATTTAAATATATTAAAAATATAAATCATTGAAATTAAACATATCTACATTGATAAATTGGCATATACAAGACATAAAAATTCTAAAATAGAGGAACTTGTCTTTGATATTTTTGTTTTCTTTTTTATTAAATATTAATTTTTGTATTTCAAGTCTTTTTTTTTGAACTAAGTCTTATAACTTTTATGAATTAAATTTTTTATAATATATACTTAACTCGCTAAACTAAAAAAAATTGACGAACTTAACAAGTTTAACCAAGTTTGCATCTAGTATGACACTACTAAAAAAAAAATTTAGCGAGGGATAAATTCCTAACTAAATATTATTTTTCCTTACTAAATTGCGTTTTAATGACGGATTTTATCCCTTACTAAATTCGTAGTGAAAAAATAGCTCGCTAAATTTAGCGAGGGATTGTATGTCCCTCCCTAAAATTAGCGAGGGACTAGATTCTTTGCTAATTCCTTGCTAATACTATTTAAAATTTGATAACTTTAGCGAGGGATTAGTCTCTCGTTAAATATATTTATATTTAAAAATAATGATGCCACTCGTCATGTGTATGTCAATTTGTGACATGTCACTAAGAACTTTGTACCTCATCAATCGCCATGTCACCTACCCATCTCGTGCCCCATCACTTGCTACATGTACGACAACTCATGACGTGTTATTGTCCATCTCATGCCATGTCACTTGCTCCTTATCATGTCATATATTCATTATATTTATGTCAAAACCAAGATTTTAACCCTTGACCCCATATCTTTCAAGCCTTATGCTCTCATTCTTTGCTAGTTGAACTGAAAGGTATCTGCAGTCATTATATGAAAAATTAAATATATATTATTTAACTACATAAATATATCAAATAATATATTATAAAAATACACATATATATACATATTAAATTTTATTTTTAATTATTAATATTTTAAAAATATTTATATTTTATTAAAATTATTCTTTATAAAATGTTTTTCATAAAATATTATTTTGTTAATGAAAATAAACTTAAAATAAAAAATATTAAATATTAAATAATTTTATTCTGAATATTTTAGTTAATTTTTAAATTAAATTTTTATTTTTGAATGAAAATAATTAAATATATAATTAAAAGTCATTGCCAAAAGTTAAATTTTTTTGGCAACAATTAGCTAGGGATAGAATTTCTTGCTAAATCTCTCGCT